AACTAATCTAAGAATATAAAATATTCAACCCGCATCCAAAAGCAAATGGTTCGACTATTAAGCAAAATCTCAACAATAAAATTCATGGGTCAGGGGGCTAGCAATTCATTCATATTTTTCACTATTAGCACTTCTTTTTTTTTTTTAATATCCCCACTTGATTGATTTTTTATTTTTTCTCGTGGGAATGCTTAGTTTTCAGCCATTCAAGCGTTTTGACGCGAACTCCAACATTGGCCACATGAAGGAGCCCGGTTACTCAGCCATCATCGCTTAAAAACCACATACTCATAGTTATCGTCACTTTTTGACGCGAAAGTCGACACTTGTGGTGAAGACCTCCGGTTACTAGACAACGATACTAGCGGAGTATAGCTGAATACTTTTCATAAATAAGCACCAAAAAATAAAATTAAATACCACACAAACCCACTTCATTTCTTAAACATGGAGAACTAAGATTAATAGCTGAACCAATTTGCACAAAAAAATGCTAGACAAATATTTACAATACTTAGAAAAGTTAACCGAAAAGTGCAAAAGTCACAAAATCTCAAATATTCACCCAAAAGATACCCTTAAAATCAACCATGTCATACTCAACACCTTAAAGTGTAAAATCTTAGCAATAGAAAAATTTGAGACATCTAACCATCGTTTATCAGGAATAATCACAAATAAGCACAAAGATAGGCAAAAATTGGACAAAAGTCGACAAAGTCAAACAAAAAAAATTCCAACAAAAATGCCTACATTTGCACTTTTTCAATAAAATGCCAATATACTACCCCCCCACACCTAAATCTTGCATTGCCCTCAATGTAAGCAAAGAAAGAGCAAAACAGAGATATTGGGGCAACGACACTTCCCTTAAAACGGAGGAGGGCAGAACTGAACTACGGCTGGGGAGGGAAAGGCGGGCGGAAACCCACGTGATGGAGATACTGTGTTAAATTCTGGGTCATCTCTCCCATTTGACGCTCCATCCGCTCCATACGAGTGTCCATGTGCTGCATCTGGAGCCGAAGGGCTGCAAGCTGGCTATCGGCGGAGGAAGACGGTGGAGGTGCCGCAGAGGACAGTCCGGGGTCCTCTCGGTCAAATCGAGGGGGCAGATCCACTCGAGGGGACTGTGGCCAGTGGGGTAGAGGTGGAAGGTTTGCTCTTGCCTTTGTTCTTGGGTTTGGTCATTGGATATCAGTGGACAAGACAAAGGCAAAGTAATGGTGTTCAAAATATGTCAACAAACAACCAACAAGGCAAATGATCCCCAGTCACAAACAAGTGCAGAAACGGATAATAAACTCACCCCAAAAACTAATTAAACCTGTGAACGACAAAATTTTTTCCAAATACTACCAATTCAACCCAAAAATCAATTAATTAGATAAACACAGCAAAATTCCCCAAAAACTAATTAAACAGGCAACTAGAGTAAAAACTTTCCCCAAATATCACTGGTTGGGCACAACGTTAACCAAATAATCAACAATCAATCCACAGATATGTCACAGTACCCAAACAAGCACAAATTTTCTGTCCTCAGCTAAGAAAGTAAAACTCTGGCATCAGCTAATAAAAGCTAGTAATCTGGCCTCAGCTACTTAGTGACAGAAAAATAAAGAAAGAATTCACCGGAGGTTTGGAGTAGGCAGTGGATGACAGTGGAGAGCAGAGGCAGCAAAAAGGTGGCGGATTGCACCGCGCGTGCGATGAGCAGAGGTGACGGCTGGCGCGATGGGCTCAGCTGCTTGTTTGGAACGCGCAGAGGGCGCCTGGTTGCTGAGCGAAGGGCTAACTCGCGCGGACTGGCTGCTGCGAGGGGATTGTATGAGGAAGCTGCAGATGATGTGCACTGGGACTGGGTGAGCGCTGACAGCACGGGCTGAGGATGGCGCTCGGACAGCCGCTGGCAGAGGAGGTACGACGCGCGACGAGGTGCGCGACTAGTGGGCGAGTGGCGGCGGCGCGCGACGAGGTTGCTGGTTGCTGTGTGCTGTCCGCCGGCGTGTAGGAAGAGGGCGCGATGTGGGCTTGGCGCGGTGGGCAGTGGCGGACAAGTGGGTGGCTGCCGAAGAAGAAGCAAGAAGAAAAAGAAAGAAAAGGAAGAAGAAAGAAAAAGAAAAGAAAGAAGAAGAAAGCAAATAGGGCTACGGGCCTTTGAATTTTTTTTTTTTTTTAACCTCTGGCTTAGGCATAGGCACGCCTTACTGCCCCTAGTCTTTTGACCATCCGTCGAAAATTCTCGATCCGTTAGCGTGACCACTTAGCGTGGGCACGCTCAACTGCTACAGAGTCCGCAGATCCTGAACGAAAATTTCTTTCCCTCAGGCGTGACCACCTGGCGTGGGCACGCTTAACTGCTATAGAGTCCGCAGATCTTGAACGAAAATTTCTTTCCCTCAGGCGTGACCACCTGGCGTGGGCACGTCTACCTGCTAATTTCCTGTCACCAAACATCAAACTATTAATTGACACTAACACTTAACAAAAACTCCAAAAACATAAGAAAATTAAAACAAAAGCCTTGGGTTGCCTCCCAAGCAGCGCCTTTCTTTAATGTCTTTGGCTAGACATTGTCCTATTTATTCATGGAGGATAAAATCGCGTAGCTCACTTCAATGCTTCATCTTCTATGTAATCCTGATAGCCCTCGTAAATAGAGTAATTTTTGAGCACACGAGCTACGGGCTTCCGTGGACTAGTAAATGGCACCAAACAAACAAGTGATGATCTTAAATCTTCACTTACTCCTCCATCAAGAGCACTTATTTGTTCGAGATATTTTGCCATCATGACTCTTAACTTATTCCTGGCATGAAATTCAAAATCGTCTGGTATAATAAAATCAATCTCACTAACAGAAATTAAAGAATAAGAGTCAGGAAAATATTGATCAAGGAATGGAGGAGATGTCACCGCATTTGGAGATTGTTCACTGGATTCATTCACTTGAACCATTTGATGTTGGGGTCTCAATTTTTGCTCTTCAACTTTCTTTTCAACTGCATCTTTAGATTCTTCTTCTTGAGACTCTTGCAGTACCATGTCATTTGTCAGAATAATTGCACTCTCATCTTCTTCATGGTCGATAATAGTCGGTGAGGGCACTTCTTCAGTCATTCGAGAAGCCAATGACGTTATCCTAAATGTCAATTGATCCATTTGATCTGCTAGGTTACGCCTGTTCACTTGTGTCTCTTGATGAAAATCTATTATCTCCTGTTGAAGTTGATGTGTCTCCTGTTGAATTTGATATGTGTTAGTAGCTATTAATTCAACTATTTCTTCAAGAGACATACCTGACATAGATGATGATTCTTGAGACTCGTACTGCTGAAAATTCATTGGCCCTGTTGTATAATTATAACTGGAGTTATCCCACCATCCTTGATCATGCCCGTTTGGATTAGGGTTATACCACGTTTGAGACCATGGTGAAAAATCTCCATAATTATTGAGTGGGACACTCAAATTATCTTGATATTCGGGGCACATATCGGTCGAATGATCCCTGGCATAACAAATTTCACAGGTTGCAGCAGCCATTCTTTCTCTAATAGAGTTTAGTGCCTCTAAATATGCAAACTTAGAAAAACAATCAGTCTCATTGCCTTCCTCGGAAACAAAATCCAGTAAATCACCAAAATACGGAGTGTTAGAAGCCATAAACTATATAATAAAAAAAATAAGAGAAAAATAAATAAATAAAAATAAAAACAAGATGAACTCAAAAAGAAACAAATTAATCTGGCACCAGTCCCCGGCAACGGCGCCAAAAATTGACAGGTGCCGAACCTGTGCAATAATAAATATCTACTCGAGAAAAATACAGATTTTGTATATAGCGGTGAGTAGGGTCGAATCCACAGGGATTGGGGATAATTCGTTTCTTCTAGAGTTCAAAGTATGGGGGGTTTTGGATTAAATGCTAACTAAATAAATTAACTGCAGAAAATAATTAATTAAAAGAAATAATTGGGGAAACTCTAGCCAAGGGTACACATCAGAAATGGTTCAGGCACTGATCATCGATTCACAGATAATTCCACATTTATTAATAGATCAGTTATAGTTGTCATACACGCGATAAACAACCAACCCTTCCTTAATTTATCGATAGTCAAGGTACGACCGTTAACTATTTCTCTAACCCAAAAACAATCCTAGGTACGACCGTAGGATTTAATTTCTAGATTGCATTAATAATTAGAAAGGCCCAATCCTAACTAATAAACACGCTACGAGGGTTTGTTTAAATTAGATCGTATGTTCCCCTGACATAAACCCAATTACGCCAGTTGCTACTGAGATAAAGATAACGAACAATTACGGATTCAATTATCCCTATTTAGCAAAATAGCCTATGTGAATAATTAAATATTGCGCATCTATTCAATCATTCACACGAGCTATAACAGTTAAAAGCAGGAAACATATGAATACCAATAAATGGAGGAAGCAATTAAAATAAATTAGATCTCACAGAAATTGTTGAACCAAATCTTCAGTTGTCCCCTTGACTAGCAATAAGAACTTAGTCCTCCATTAATGGAGAATAACCATGCGAAAAAGCAATCTGAAGCTTACAAAATTCTTCCTGGCCAAATCGGCCAAGGAACGAAAGCAAAAATGTCGGCCAAAAGGGAAAAATACAAAGACAAGCCGTCCTCAATTTTGTTGCTGACCGAACTCTTATTCAGGCGGGATCCGGCCTTCTTTTCCTATTTTCTAGCTTTCTAAAACGCATTCAACTTCCTCCTTCACAATCCGTAGTGATTGATGCCAAAGAAATCTCCTACCATAGGAAAACTAACTCCTAAAAGATAGCAAAACAAAGTGCTTAAAAGTCTCCTAAACCAACCCAATTACTAATTAGAAACTTGGCAGATAATATCATCTTCCAGTTGTGATGACGACTCCCACTTGAATTAGGATACTGCCCTGCATAGAATCCCACACACTCCAAGCTTGATTGATGTCTTCTCATGCGTCCACACTTACTTGGAGGAAAATCTTCTAAAAGCTGCTATTTCTGCACTTTCCTTCTCCAATTGGATAAACATCCCCTAAACATACAATTCAAACAAAATATGTCTATTAATGCAATATCCAATCCAATAAGAAAGGGAAATTATAACAAAATTAATGCTAAATTAGCGTTCTATCACAGAGTGTTGCGTCCGAAGAGCAGCAACGTTTGTCGGACGTCCGATACACAGGTGTTGAGCTTCCGAACCTGATCAGTAATCGAGTAACTCCTGATTTGTCTTTTTCGGACGTCCGAGTCTGAGTTCTTTACTCGTCCGAAGATACTCAAAGAATATCGGACGTCCGATATTCTCCTTTTGTGCGTCCGACATCATCCTCAGCAGACTTCATTCTTTTTTTATCTTCTTTTTCTGCTTTAAATCCACAGACCTGTTTGGTTTATTTCTGAAAAGGATCTCTACAAAAGGTGTTAGAAACATCCAATTGTTTTGTAATCATCAAAAGATATGAATTGAGATAAACAATCTCCCCCTTTTTGGTGATGACAAAACAATTGGATAGAGCACAAAATATAACAGCTCCCCCTAACGAAGTGCATGAGTAGTATATAGGAAGAAACGCAATCCACATCATCAGTGCTGATCCAGCTCAACTCCCCCTGAGACTGTCTCCCCCTAACTAGATACTCTATACTATCAGTGTTAAACCAAATCCAATTCCAATTCTCCCCCTTTTTGTCATCACAAGATTGAGTGTCAGTTTTGGAACCAGCAGTACGTCCCATCAGAAACATTATCAGTGTATTCATTTACAATGTACAGCACAGTTTGGACTCAATCATGTAGCAGATGTTAAACAGAAACATTCACTCATTGAACAGATTTCAAAAACATATAACCAATCATAACATCCATTCAAAGCATTCATAACAAGCACTTGGTTAAAACATTCATAAATAGTAGAAAATATCCAATTGTACAGACCAGGTGTTCAACACTTAGTACAAAAGTGCAATGCAAAAGATGAACTATAGTCCTAGGTTTAGGTGCAGTGACCTAGTAGTGCCTAGATGGTGATCTTAGATGATCCAGGCCTCCTCCTGGCCAGACGGTACTGTTCAGGGTCCTCTTCTTCGTCAGTTTGTTCATCATCATCTTCAAATGCTTCCTCAGTTACTGGAGCCTTGCCTTTATCCTTGGGCTGAGAACTGGAAGCTGGTGTGGTCTCATTACCAGTAGTTGGCCTTGTGGGCTCAGATCTTGGTTCTTTCTGATGAGCAGTCTCATTTGTCTCAGGTATAGGGGGCACAAGAAGATTCCTTTTTTCAAGGAAAGATGATTGTTGGGCAGAGGTCATGGTCATCATGAGACCATCTTCAAGAAGCATGACATGCTGTTTGAGGTCTTCAAGCAAGGAGATGACCTCAGAGTTGGAAGAGAAGGACTTACTAGCAGACTTTCTAGGATGAATGGTGAAAGGAGAAACATAGCCTGACTGATCATGGGGAGTTCTAGGAGTGGCAGGGGTTTCATGCAAATTTTTTCTTCTAGACTCGGCCACAGTCTCCTTGTAGCACCAATGACCATCAAAAAATTTTAGGTTCTTTCTTTCAAAATAAGCTTTGGAGAACACTGATGAAGCACTGTCTTTTGGAGATTTGCCAGAAAAGGGTATGTCAAAATGAGCAAAAATGGGGGTCAGAAATCTGCCATAGGAAAGCTTCCTACGACTATCAGTGCTGATTTTGAGCAGAAATTTGCACATTACAAATCCAAAGTCAATGCGGATTTTTTCAACAAAGCAGTAGAAAAGATAGAGTTCCATTTTGTTTGCATCTGTTCTGTGGCCATCAGTTGGCACCAACAGATTCGAAATGATGGTGAAGATGATCAGATTCTGAGGACTGAGATCATCCAATCTTGCCTCAGCAGGGGTGTTGAATTTGGTTTGAAAATAAGTCATGAGTTTAGCATTGTAAAAATGATGATAGGCAGAAGGGAATTCCTCATACGAAAAGAAATTTGCAATTTTTCCCTTAAAACCAGGTTCAATACTAGTTTTCAGAATAGAATTCACAATGTCAGGAGTTAACATGATGTCTACAGCGTTAACCCTAGAGACGAGTTCAGTGTGTGATGTACCCTTTCTAAGATTAGCAAAAAATTGATAAAGCATGTCAGGATAAAAAACATTAGGAATGGTCAGAAGATGAGTCCATTTCTGGAATTCAAAGAGTTTGATGACAGGTTCAAAATCAAGCTTACGAAATTCAAAAGGAATGATGAGCCTTTGGGTGATGATGTGACAGCCCCACCTCACCCTAAGGCGAACCAAAGGGTTCGGCGGACCGCCTGCCCAGCTCTCGCCAGGACTAACGATGCAGACTAGAGCTATCTATTGCGATCCGGAACTTACAAACGAGTGGAAACAAGTTAAAATGGTAAAATAACCCAAAATAAAAAAAATGAAATCCGGAGTCGGCCATGAATAGTAACCGACCCGTCAGAACCCAATCGAAAGAGCACGCAAACATTCACATCTGAACTTTAGCGATTACAATCCAAAATGACATACAAAAGTTTTAAAAAGTTGATACATATACACGGTTTGCCAAATCAAAAGAGAAAATGCCCCAAAAGTACACTTAGAGTTTTAATACATGAGCTATACAAAAGATATGTTCCACTAGCTCAATTTGGCAGCCATTTGTCAAATCCAGACCAAAAGTGTTTATTTTCCTGTAAGGAAAACAAAAGGGACAGAAAGGGGTGAGCTTGCGCTCAATGAGGTACCAAACATATAGCAGAAAAATCATGGCATTTCATATTTTACAAATCAGATACACATGCCAGATGTAAAGCAAAGGAACCAATGATTCAAATCAGAAGGATACGGGTGGCTCTCAGGAGCCAAATTTCCAGCGCAGTACTTGATCCAAACCGGTTGACTCTCCGTCAACGTATATAGAACCAAAACGTCCGTAGACCCCTCTTCACACCGAATTCCGTCCACCAAACACCCCCTTTACCGGGCCCGCTCACCGTAACCGAACAGAAATGGTAATGCTCGAGTATACCGGAATCAAGGGTCTCAATACCCAAAAATCCAGGCCCTTGCCGACCCGACTCGAAAAACTTAGCCACAGGATTGAGCTCATAGGTCATAGAAATCCGAACAGATGCAGACACAGATAACAGATTCAGATACAGATACAGAATAGCATATTCAGATAGCAGATTCAGACGGCAGATTCAGATAGGCACTCAAAATTGGCATATGAACAAACAAGAGAACGAGTGTGATAAAGTACACCCTCGTCTCAAACAAATTAAACAGATTACAGAGCAGAAATCAAGTTAAACAGCAATGGAAGAGAGTGGTACACTCACCGGTTCAACTTCAAAAGTTTTCACTTCAGATTGGCCTTAATCGCCAAAAACCCTAAAATAATCAAAATAAACCAATTGAAGGTTTCACATCCAAAATCAAGTAAACGGAATGCGCAAGTGAGGCTCGACTACACGTCGTACGCCTTGCCAAATAAATACTAGTGCGAGGGTGGAAAACATGATTTTCTTGGAACAAAAAGATAACATGAAGACCTAGGCGCCAAACAACCCAAAAGCCTTTTATTTCTATCAAGAGGCAAATCCAACTTAAAGAACCAAATGGCCTAGAAAATTGGGCAGCACTTCCCCTGGATTCCTTACTTTTCCAGCCATTAAGGCTTCATTATTTCCTCAAATCAGTCCCAACATCTCACACAAAAGTCATCTCATTTCCCAAAAGTCATTCACGAGGCTCAAAGTAAAAGTTAACTAGGAAATGACCGGAATAAAAGTAAGCCTTAAAACATACAAACAAGTACAATGAGACTCGATAACTGATCATAAATCAATGCCAAATATGACCCCAATAGGGTTCCATGAACATATACAAACAGTAGAGAAAACCAGAAAATTCGGAAATGCAATTAGCTTTGGCCTTGAAAAATAGTTTTTGACCTCTTTTTGCGGTAATGGCACCAAATGCCCTATGATTATTGGATGAAGGTGTAAGATCCACCATTTCGAAGCTAAAAGACAGGGCTACAACATCACAGAAGGTCACTCAGCCCAGTTTTGAGTGCAAACAGGTCAAAAATGCAAAATACTACATCAAAAACGTAAAACAGATTCACCAAAACACATACTAGCGGAAATATCATAACTCAGGCTCTACAAGTCCAAATCCAGAAATTCAAAAACCAAATGAAAGCTAAGAAACGGGGCTAAATTTCTTCAGAAGGCCTCAACAGCTAATTCGGAAGCGATCCAGACAAAAACAACCAATAACAGTCACAAATCCCAATTTCTGGTAAAACCAGAACAGCAATAATAATTTCGACTTATCTCATTCTACACTACTCCGATTGATCTGAAATTTTGTAGACACCTATAAAATATCATTCTCCACAACTTTCATGTTTTTAGCTAAGACCAATTCGGCCTCTAACTATGAGATATAAATTCGGGCAGAATGAAGAATCAAGAACCCTAATTTTTCAATTTTTGGTCCAAAACAGAAATTGATTGCAATTGTCCACTTTTTCCACCTCATAGAGTCCTTAAACATCATTTCCAATCATCATACATGACCACATAATCATACTCATATGAAAACAGAAAAATCCCCAAAAATTATAAAATTTCACCAATTCAACCAAAACCAAGAAATAATCCATAAAGTTGCAACTTATACCACCACTAATCATGATTTAAGCATCAATTAAAGAAGGAGGGTGATTCTTCACAACTTACCTTAAGAACAAGAGAGAGAGAGCTATTGGTCACCTTAACTTTCCAAGAAACTCCACCAAACAACTCACTATCACTCCCTTAAGTGTTTCTATGGAACAAAAACAAGTTTAGATGGTTGAATTCTTAGATTTGAGCAAGAGAGAATCAAGAAGTTGAAGAGGTTTTCTTTCTTCCTTTCCTAGAGAGAAATTCAGCCAAGCTTGAAGAAAAATGGAAGATATTTGGTCAATTTTTGGTTTTATTTAGTAATTGGTAAAAGGTTGAATAGTAAGTCAATTGTAGGATTTAATCTCCAAGTGATACATGTCAAGACACTTGTCCCTCTCATTAATGTCATGCCTAACCTTTTTGTCTTTCTCACACCTATGCACTTGGCACCTCTAAATATCTAATAACACCCGGTAAATTAAATCTATTATCCAAAACTTAACCGAACTGGCCGAATTTTTCCGAACTTTTCGCACTAGTGGGTCCCACGTCCGATATACACTCTTAATTTCTCAAAAACTAACCGATACTAGAAAAATCATTTTAAAAATTATATTTACTCATAAAATTTATCTAGAAAATTTTTCGGATACAAAAAGTGCAGAAAACAAACCATTGAAAATAAGAAAACCTGGAAATATAATAAAACCTAGAAAATGGAAAAATTACGGGTTCTCACACTCTCTCCCCCTTAAAGAATTTTCGCCCTCGAAATTTTACCTTCAAAATTTAACGTAACCAGACCTAGTCCCAGACCCAATTAAAATAACCCCGTCCGATCCCTCACGTCACTTACTATGCAAACTAGATATCCAATAACCTCTTGGACTCATTCCAGCCGAACAAAGCCCATTCATGTTCCCAAAATGCAAATCTCACATACTTAACACCGCCTCAACTCTGGAGTACTCAGGCACAAGAATCCGAAATAAGACAATTCACCTCTCGAGCTGGCCAGTCCCAAGAGTAAACCATCTACAATCGAAATTCCTACCAGACATACCTATCTATGGTACTCAATTACCACGGAAAAGTTTTAAGGCCTATAACGTTCATAATTCAGAGCTTACGCTCAAACGAGCACTTATTCCTTCATACCTATTCACCACTTAGTCCAGGCTCACTCCGCGCAGAGACCACGCGAAGCAGGCTCTGATACCACCTGTGACAGCCCCACCTCACCCTAAGGCGAACCAAAGGGTTCGGCGGACCGCCTGCCCAACTCTCGCCCGGACTAACGATGCAGACTAGAGCTATCTATTGCGATCCGGAACTTACAAACGAGTGGAAACAAGTTAAAATGGTAAAATAACCCAAAATAAAAAAAATGAAATCCGGAGTCGGCCATGAATAGTAACCGACCCGTCAGAACCCAATCGAAAGAGCACGCAAACATTCACATCTGAACTTTAGCGATTACAATCCAAAATGACATACAAAAGTTTTCAAAAGTTGATACATATACACAGTTTGCCAAATCAAAAGAGAATACGCCCCAAAAGTACACTTAGAGTTTTAATACATGAGCTATACAAAAAATATGTTCCACTAGCTCAATTTGGCAGCCATTTGTCAAATCCAGACCAAAAGTGTTTATTTTCCTGTAAGGAAAACAAAAGGGACAGAAAGGGGTGAGCTTGCGCTCAATGAAGTACCAAACATATAGCAGAAAAATCATGGCATTTCACATTTTACAAATCAGATACACATGCCAGATGTAAAGCAAAGGAACCAATGATTCAAATCAGAAGGATACGGGTGGCTCTCAGGAGCCAAATTTCCAGCGCAGTACTTGATCCAAACCGGTTGACTCTTCGTCAACGTATATAGAACCAAAACGTCCGTAGACCCCTCTTCACACCGAATTCCGTCCACCAAACACCCCCTTTACCGGGCCCGCTCACCGTAACCGAACAGAAATGGTAATACTCGAGTATACCGGAATCAAGGGTCTCAATACCCAAAAATCCTCGAACAGACTACCGTGGTTCGTTATCTAATCGTCCAAGCCCTTGCCGACCCGACTCGAAAAACTTAGCCACAGGATTGAGCTCATAGGTCATAGAAATCCGAACAGATGCAGACACAGATAACAGATTCAGATACAGAATAGCATATTCAGATAGCAGATTCAGACGGCAGATTCAGATAGGCACTCAAAATTGGCATATGAACAGACAAGAGAACGAGTGTGATAAAGTACACCCTCGTCTCAAACAAATTAAACAGATTGCAGAGCAAAAATCAAGTTAAACAGCAATGGAAGAGAGTGGTACACTCACCGGTTCAACTTCAAAAGTTTTCACTTCAGATTGGCCTTAATCGCCAAAAACCCTAAAATAATCAAAATAAACCAATTGAAGGTTTCACATCCAAAATCAAGTAAACGGAATGCGCAAGTGAGGCTCGACTACACGTCGTACGCCTTGCCAAATAAATACTAGTGCGAGGGTGGAAAACATGATTTTCTTGGAACAAAAAGATAACATGAAGACCTAGGTGCCAAACAACCCAAAAGCCTTTTATTTCTATCAAGAGGCAAATCCAACTTAAAGAACCAAACGGCCTAGAAAATTGGGCAGCACTTCCCCTGGATTCCTTACTTTTCCAGCCATTAAGGCTTCATTATTTCCTCAAATCAGTCCCAACATCTCACACAAAAGTCATCTCATTTCCCAAAAGTCATTCACTAGGCTCAAAGTAAAAGTTAACTAGGAAATGACCGGAATAAAAGTAAGCCTTAAAACATACAAACAAGTACAATGAGACTCGATAACTGATCATAAATCAATACCAAATATGACCCCAATAGGGTTCCATGAACATATACAAACAGTAGAGAAAACCAGAAAATTCGGAAATACAATTAGCTTTGGCCTTGAAAAACAGTTTTTGACCTCTTTTTGCGGTAATGGCACCAAATACCCTATGATTATCGGATGAAGGTGTAAGACCCACCATTTCGAAGCTAAAAGACAGGGCTACAACATCACAGAAGGTCACTCAGCCCAGTTTTGAGTGCAAACAGGTCAAAAATGCAAAATACTACATCAAAAACGTAAAACAGATTCACCAAAACACATTCTAGCGGAAATATCATAACTCAGGCTCTACAAGTCCAAATCCAGAAATTCCAAAACCAGATGAAAGCTAAGAAACAGGGTTAAATTTCTTCAGAAGGCCTCAACAACTAATTCGGAAGCAATCCAGACCAAAACAACCAATAACAGTCACAAATCCCAATTTCGGGTAAAACCAGAACAGCAATAGTAATTTCGACTTATCTCATTCTACACTACTCCGATTGATCTGAAATTTTGTAGGCACCTATAAAATATCATTCTCCACAACTTTCATGTTTTGAGCTAAGGCCAATTCGGCCTCTAACTATGAGATATAAATTCGGGCAGAATGAAGAATCAAGAACCCTAATTTTTCAATTTTTGGTCCAAAACAGAAATTGATTGCAATTGAACACTTTTTCCACCTCATAGAGTCCTTAAACATCATTTCCAATCATCATACATGACCACATAATCATACTCATATGAAAACAGAAAAATCCCCAAAAATTATAAAATTTCACCAATTCAACCAAAACCAAGAAATAATCCATAAAGTTGTACCTTATACCACCACTAATCATGATTTAAGCATCAATTAAAGAAGGAGGGTGATTCTTCACAACTTACCTTAAGAACAAGAGAGAGAGAGCTATTGGTCACCTTAACTTTCCAAGAAACTCCACCAAACAACTCACTATCACTCCCTTAAGTGTTTCTATGGAACAAAAACAAGTTTAGATGGTTGAATTCTTGGATTTGAGCAAGAGAGAATCAAGAAGTTGAAGAGGTTTTCTTTCTTCCTTTCCTAGAGAGAAATTCAGCCAAGCTTGAAGAAAAATGGAAGATATTTGGTCAATTTTTGGTTTTATTTAGTAATTGGTAAAAGGTTGAATAGTAAGTCAATTGTAGGATTTAATCTCCAAGTGATACATGTCAAGACACTTGTCCCTCTCATTAATGTCATGCCTAACCTTTTTGTCTTTCTCACACCTATGCACTTGGCACCTCTAAATATCTAATAACACCCGATAAATTAAATCTAGTATCCAAAACTTAACCGAACTGGCCGAATTTTTCCGAACTTTTCGCACTAGTGGGTCCCACGTCCGATATACACTCTTAATTTCTCAAAAACTAACCGATACTAGAAAAATCATTTTAAAAATTATATTTACTCATAAAATTTATCTAGAAAATTTTTCAGATACAAAAAGTGCAGAAAACAAACCATTGAAAATAAGAAAACCTGGAAATATAATAAAACCTAGAAAATGGAAAAATTACGGGTTCTCACAGATGAACCCTTTTTGAGAGACTAACTCAAATCTGTCTCTGGCTTCATCGTCGATGAACTTTGATAGAGGAACGGGTTTAGGTGCAGGCTGAGATACTGGATTCTTCCCAGAACGTGTCCCTTTAGAGGTTTGAGTGGCAGATGCACCAACATTTTGAGTCTCAGTCCTTGTCCTTGGAGACTTCCTGATGGAGGGTTCAGGTGTTGGCTGACTCTCAGTAATGTTTTCTTCATTCTGCTGATCAACAGAGGGATCAGCAGATTGCTTTTTCTTGGATTGGGGAGTTCTCTTCCCCTTTGCAGTCATTTTTCTTTTACTAGAAGACCTTGTGACAATTTCATCACCTTGGGTAGCCTGCTCTGGTTCCTCATTTCCACCAGCAATGTTCCCTTCAGAGATCTGTGTGACAGCCCCACCTCACCCTAAGGCGAACCAAAGGGTTTGGCGGACCGCTTGCCCAACTCTCGCCAGGACTAACGGTGCAGACTAGAGCTATCTATTGCGATCCGGAACTTACAAACGAGTGGAAACAAGTTAAAATGGTAAAATAACCCAAAATAAAAAAAATGAAATCCGGAGTCGGCCATGAATAGTAACCGACCCGTCAGAACCCAATCGAAAGAGCACGCAAACATTCACATCTGAACTTTAGCGATTACAATCCGAAATGACATACAAAAGTTTTCAAAAGTTGATACATATACACGGTTTGCCAAATCAAAAGAGAAAACGCCCCAAAAGTACACTTAGAGTTTTAATACATGAGCTATACAAAAGATATGTTCCACTAGCTCAATTTGGCAGCCATTTGTCAAATCCAGACCAAAAGTGTTTATTTTCCTGTAGGAAAACAAAAGGGACAGAAAGGGGTGAGCTTGCGCTCAATGAGGTACCAAACATATAGCAGAAAAATCATGGCATTTCACATTTTACAAATCAGATACACAAGCCAGATGTAAAGCAAAGGAACCAATGATTCAAATCAGAAGGATACGGGTGGCTCTCAGGAGCCAAATTTCCAGCGCAGTACTTGATCCAAACCGGTTGACTCTCCGTCAACGTATATAGAACCAAAACGTCCGTAGACCCCTCTTCACACCGAATTCCGTCCACCAAACACCCCCTTTACCGGGCCCGCTCACCGTAACCGAACAGAAATAGTAATACTCGAGTATACCGGAATCAAGGGTCTCAATACCCGAAAATCCCCGAACAGACTACCATGGTTCGTTATCTAATCGTCCAGGCCCTTGCCGGCCCCGACTCGAATAACTTAGCCACAGGATTGAGCTCATAGGTCATAGAAATCCGAATAGATGCAGACACAGATAACAGATTCAGATACAGATACAGAATAGCATATTCAGATAGCAGATTCAGACGGCAGATTCAGATAGGCACTCAAAATTGGCATATGAACAGACAAGAGAACGAGTGTGATAAAGTACACCCTCGTCTCAAACAAATTAAACAGATTGCAGAGCAGAAATCAAGTTAAACAGCAATGGAAGAGAGTGGTACACTCACCGGTTCAACTTCAAAAGTTTTCACTTCAGATTGGCCTTAATCGCCAAAAACCCTAAAATAATCAAAATAAACCAATTGAAGGTTTCACATCCAAAATCAAGTAAACGGAATGCGCAAGTGAGGCTCGACTACACGTCGTACGCCTTGCCAAATAAATACTAGTGCGAGGGTGGAAAACATGATTTTCTTGGAACAAAAAGATAACATGAAGACCTAGGTGCCAAACAACCCAAAAGCCTTTTATTTCTATCAAGAGGCAAATCCAACTTAAAGAACCAAACGGCCTAGAAAATTGGGCAGCACTTCCCCTGGATTCCTTACTTTTCCAGCCATTAAGGCTTCATTATTTCCTCAAATCAGTCCCAACATCTCACACAAAAGTCATCTCATTTCCCAAAAGTCATTCACTAGGCTCAAAGTAAAAGTTAACTAGGAAATGACCGGAATAAAAGTAAGCCTTAAAACATACAAACAAGTACAATGAGACTCGATAACTGATCATAAATCAATGCCAAATATGACCCCAATAGGGTTCCATGAACATATACAAACAGTAGAGAAAACCAGAAAATTCGGAAATGCAATTAGCTTTGGCCTTGAAAAACAGTTTTTGACCTCTTTTTGCGGTAATGGCACCAAATGCCCTATGATTATCGGATGAAGGTGTAAGACCCACCATTTCGAAGCTAAAAGACAGGGCTACAACATCACAGAAGGTCACTCAGCCCAGTTTTGAGTGCAAACAGGTCAAAAATGCAAAATACTACATCAAAAACGTAAAACAGATTCACCAAAACACATTCTAGCGGAAATATCATAACTCAGGCTCTACAAGTCCAAATCCAGAAATTCCAAAACCAGATGAAAGCTAAGAAACAGGGCTTAAATTTCTTCAGAAGGCCTCAACAACTAATTCGGAAGCAATCCAGACCAAAACAACCAATAACAGTCACAAATCCCAATTTCGGGTAAAACCAGAACAGCAATAGTAATTTCGACTTATCTCATTCTACACTACTCCGATTGATCTGAAATTTTGTAGGCACCTATAAAATATCATTCTCCACAACTTTGATGTTTTGAGCTAAGGCCAATTCGGCCTCTAACTATGAGATATAAATTCGGGCAGAATGAAGAATCAAGAACCCTAATTTTTCAATTTTTGGTCCAAAACAGAAATTGATTGCAATTGAACACTTTTTCCACCTCATAGAGTCCTTAAACATCATTTCCAATCATCATACATGACACATAATCATACTCATATGAAAACAGAAAAATCCCCAAAAATTATAAAATTTCACCAATTCAACCAAAACCAAGAAATAATCCATAAAGTTGCACCTTATACCACCACTAATCACGATTTAAGCATCAATTAAAGAAGGAGGGTGATTCTTCACAACTTACCTTAAGAACAAGAGAGAGAGAGCTATTGGTCACCTTAACTTTCCAAGAAACTCCACCAAACAACTCACTATCACTCCCTTAAGTGTTTCTATGGAACAAAAACAAGTTTAGATGGTTGAATTCTTGGATTTGAGCAAGAGAGAATCAAGAAGTTGAAGAGGTTTTCTTTCTTCCTTTCCTAGAGAGAAATTCAGCCAAGCTTGAAGAAAAATGGAAGATATTTGGTCAATTTTTGGTTTTATTTAGTAATTGGTAAAAGGTTGAATAGTAAGTCAATTGTAGGATTTAATCTCCAAGTGATACATGTCAAGACACTTGTCCCTCTCATTAATGTCATGCCTAACCTTTTTGTCTTTCTCACACCTATGCACTTGGCACCTCTAAATATCTAATAACACCCGATAAATTAAATCTAGTATCCAAAACTTAACCGAACTGGCCGAATTTTTCCGAACTTTTCGCACTAGTGGGTCCCACGTCCGATATACACTCTTAATTTCTCAAAAACTAACCGATACTAGAAAAATCATTTTAAAAATTATATTTACTCATAAAATTTATCTAGAAAATTTTTCAGATACAAAAAGTGCAGAAAACAAACCATTGAAAATAAGAAAACCTGGAAATATAATAAAACCTAGAAAATGGAAAAATTACGGGTTCTCACAGATGAACCCTTTTTGAGAGACTAACTCAAATCTGTCTCTGGCTTCATCATCGATGAACTTTGGTAGAGGAACGGGTTTAGGTGCAGGCTGAGATACTGGATTCTTCCCAGAACGTGTCCCTTTAGAGGTTTGAGTGGCAGATGCACCAATATTTTGAGTCTCAGTCCTTGTCCATGGAGACTTCCTGATGGAGGGTTCAGGTGCTGGCTGACTCTCAGTAATGTTTTCTTCATTCTGCTGATCAACAGAGGGATCAGCAGATTGCTTTTTCTTGGATTGGGGAGTTCTCTTCCCCTTTGCAGTCCTTTTTCTTTTACTAGAAGACCTTGTGACAGTTTCATCACCTTGGGTAGCCTGCTCTGGTTCCTCATTTCCACCAGCAATGTTCCCTTCAGAGATCTGTGTGACAGCCCCACCTCACCCTAAGGCGAACCAAAGGGTTCGGCGGACCGCCTGCCCAACTCTCGCCAGGACTAACGGTGCAGACTAGAGCTATCTATTGCGATCCGGAACTTACAAACGAGTGGAAACAAGTTAAAATGTTAAATAACCCAAAATAAAAAAAAATGAAATCGGGAGTCGGCCATGAATAGTAACCGACCCGTCAGAACCCAATCGAAAGAGCACGCAAACATTCACATCTGAACTTTAGCGATTACAATCCGAAATGACATACAAAAGTTTTCAAAAGTTGATACATATACACGGTTTGCCAAATCAAAAGAGAAAATGCCCCAAAAGTACACTTAGAGTTTTAATACATGAGCTATACAAAAGATATGTTCCACTAGCTCAATTTGGCAGCCATTTGTCAAATCCAGACCAAAAGTGTTTATTTTCCTGTAAGGAAAACAAAAGGGACAGAAAGGGGTGAGCTTGCGCTCAATGAGGTACCAAACATATAGCAGAAAAATCATGGCATTTCACATTTTACAAATCAGATACGCATGCCAGATGTAAAGCAAAGGAACCAATGATTCAAATCAGAAGGATACGGGTGGCTCTCAGGAGCCAAATTTCCAGCGCAGTACTTGATCCAAACCGGTTGACTCTCCGTCAACGTATATAGAACCAAAACGTCCGTAGACCCCTCTTCACACCGAATTCCGTCCACCAAACACCCCCTTTACCGGGCCCGCTCACCGTAACCGAACAGAAATAGTAATACTCGAGTATACCGGAATCAAGGGTCTCAATACCCGAAAATCCCCGAACAGACTACCATGGTTCGTTATCTAATCGTCCAGGCCCTTGCCGGCCCCGACTCGAATAACTTAGCCACAGGATTGAGCTCATAGGTCATAGAAATCCGAATAGATGCAGACACAGATAACAGATTCAGATACAGATACAGAATAGCATATTCAGATAGCAGATTCAGACGGCAGATTCAGATAGGCACTCAAAATTGGCATATGAACAGACAAGAGAACGAGTGTGATAAAGTACACCCTCGTCTCAAACAAATTAAACAGATTGCAGAGCAGAAATCAAGTTAAACAGCAATGGAAGAGAGTGGTACAGTCACCGGTTCAACTTCAAAAGTTTTCACTTCAGATTGGCCTTAATCGCCAAAAACCCTAAAATAATCAAAATAAACCAATTGAAGGTTTCACATCCAAAATCAAGTAAACGGAATGCGCAAGTGAGGCTCGACTACACGTCGTACGCCTTGCCAAATAAATACTAGTGCGTGGGTGGAAAACATGATTTTCTTGGAACAAAAAGATAACATGAAGACCTAGGTGCCAAACAACCCAAAAGCCTTTTATTTCTATCAAGAGGCAAATCCAACTTAAAGAACCAAACGGCCTAGAAAATTGGGCAGCACTTCCCCTGGATTCCTTGCTTTTCCAGCCATTAAGGCTTCATTATTTCCTCAAATCAGTCCCAACATCTCACACAAAAGTCATCTCATTTCCCAAAAGTCATTCACTAGGCTCAAAGTAAAAGTTAACTAGGAAATGACCGGAATAAAAGTAAGCCTTAAAACATACAAACAAGTACAATGAGACTCGATAACTGATCATGAATCAATGCCAAATATGACCCCAATAGGGTTCCATGAACATATACAAACAGTAGAGAAAACCAGAAAATTCGGAAATGCAATTAGCTTTGGCCTTGAAAAATAGTTTTTGACCTCTTTTTGCGGTAATGGCACCAAATGCCCTATGATTATTGGATGAAGGTGTAAGATCCACCATTTCGAAGCTAAAAGACAGGGCTACAACATCACAGAAGGTCACTCAGCCCAGTTTTGAGTGCAAACAGGTCAAAAATGCAAAATACTACATCAAAAACGTAAAACAGATTCACCAAAACACATACTAGCGGAAATATCATAACTCAGGCTCTACAAGTCCAAATCCAGAAATTCAAAAACCAAATGAAAGCTAAGAAACGGGGCTAAATTTCTTCAGAAGGCCTCAACAACTAATTCGGAAGCGATCCAGACAAAAACAACCAATAACAGTCACAAATCCCAATTTCTGGTAAAACCAGAACAGCAATAATAATTTCGACTTATCTCATTCTACACTACTCCGATTGATCTGAAATTTTGTAGGCACCTATAAAATATCATTCTCCACAACTTTCATGTTTTGAGCTAAGGCCAATTCGGCCTCTAACTATGAGATATAAATTCGGGCAGAATGAAGAATCAAGAACCCTAATTTTTCAATTTTTGGTCCAAAACAGAAATTGATTGCAATTGTCCACTTTTTCCACCTCATAGAGTCCTTAAACATCATTTCCAATCATCATACATGACCACATAATCATACTCATATGAAAACAGAAAAATCCCCAAAAATTATAAAATTTCACCAATTCAACCAAAACCAAGAAATAATCCATAAAGTTGCACCTTATACCACCACTAATCATGATTTAAGCATCAATTAAAGAAGGAGGGTGATTCTTCACAACTTACCTTAAGAACAAGAGAGAGAGAGCTATTGGTCACCTTAACTTTCCAAGAAACTCCACCAAACAACTCACTATCACTCCCTTAAGTGTTTCTATGGAACAAAAACAAGTTTAGATGGTTGAATTCTTGGATTTGAGCAAGAGAGAATCAAGAAGTTGAAGAGGTTTTCTTTCTTCCTTTCCTAGAGAGAAATTCAGCCAAGCTTGAAGAAAAATGGAAGATATTTGGTCAATTTTTGGTTTTATTTAGTAATTGGTAAAAGGTTGAATAGTAAGTCAATTGTAGGATTTAATCTCCAAGTGATACATGTCAAGACACTTGTCCCTCTCATTAATGTCATGCCTAACCTTTTTGTCTTTCTCACACCTATGCACTTGGCACCTCTAAATATCTAATAACACCCGATAAATTAAATCTAGTATCCAAAACTTAACCGAACTGGCCGAATTTTTCCGAACTTTTCGCACTAGTGGGTCCCACGTCCGATATACACTCTTAATTTCTCAAAAACTAACCGATACTAGAAAAATCATTTTAAAAATTATATTTACTCATAAAATTTATCTAGAAAATTTTTCAGATACAAAAAGTGCAGAAAACAAACCATTGAAAATAAGAAAACCTGGAAATATAATAAAACCTAGAAAATGGAAAAATTACGGGTTCTCACAGATGAACCCTTTTTGAGAGACTAACTCAAATCTGTCTCTGGCTTCATCATCGATGAACTTTGGTAGAGGAACGGGTTTAGGTGCAGGCTGAGATACTGGATTCTTCCCAGAACGTGTCCCTTTAGAGGTTTGAGTGGCAGATGCACCAATATTTTGAGTCTCAGTCCTTGTCCATGGAGACTTCCTGATGGAGGGTTCAGGTGCTGGCTGACTCTCAGTAATGTTTTCTTCATTCTGCTGATCAACAGAGGGATCAGCAGATTGCTTTTTCTTGGATTGGGGAGTTCTCTTCCCCTTTGCAGTCCTTTTTCTTTTACTAGAAGACCTTGTGACAGTTTCATCACCTTGGGTAGCCTGCTCTGGTTCCTCATTTCCACCAGCAATGTTCCCTTCAGAGATCTGTGTGACAGCCCCACCTCACCCTAAGGCGAACCAAAGGGTTCGGCGGACCGCCTGCCCAACTCTCGCCAGGACTAACGGTGCAGACTAGAGCTATCTATTGCGATCCGGAACTTACAAACGAGTGGAAACAAGTTAAAATGTTAAATAACCCAAAATAAAAAAAAATGAAATCGGGAGTCGGCCATGAATAGTAACCGACCCGTCAGAACCCAATCGAAAGAGCACGCAAACATTCACATCTGAACTTTAGCGATTACAATCCGAAATGACATACAAAAGTTTTCAAAAGTTGATACATATACACGGTTTGCCAAATCAAAAGAGAAAATGCCCCAAAAGTACACTTAGAGTTTTAATACATGAGCTATACAAAAGATATGTTCCACTAGCTCAATTTGGCAGCCATTTGTCAAATCCAGACCAAAAGTGTTTATTTTCCTGTAAGGAAAACAAAAGGGACAGAAAGGGGTGAGCTTGCGCTCAATGAGGTACCAAACATATAGCAGAAAAATCATGGCATTTCACATTTTACAAATCAGATACACATGCCAGATGTAAAGCAAAGGAACCAATGATTCAAATCAGAAGGATACGGGTGGCTCTCAGGAGCCAAATTTCCAGCGCAGTACTTGATCCAAACCGGTTGACTCTCCGTCAACGTATATAGAACCAAAACGTCCGTAGACCCCTCTTCACACCGAATTCCGTCCACCAAACACCCCCTTTACCGGGCCCGCTCACCGTAACCGAACAGAAATGGTAATACTCGAGTATACCGGAATCAAGGGTCTCAATACCCAAAAATCCCCGAACAGACTACCATGGTTCGTTATCTAATCGTCCAGGCCCTTGCCGGCCCGACTCGAATAACTTAGCCACAGGATTGAGCTCATAGGTCATAGAAATCCGAATAGATGCAGACACAGATAACAGATTCAGATACAGATACAGAATAGCATATTCAGATAGCAGATTCAGACGGCAGATTCAGATAGGCACTCAAAATTGGCATATGAACAGACAAGAGAACGAGTGTGATAAAGTACACCCTCGTCTCAAACAAATTAAACAGATTGCAGAGCAGAAATCAAGTTAAACAGCAATGGAAGAGAGTGGTACAGTCACCGGTTCAACTTCAAAAGTTTTCACTTCAGATTGGCCTTAATCGCCAAAAACCCTAAAATAATCAAAATAAACCAATTGAAGGTTTCACATCCAAAATCAAGTAAACGGAATGCGCAAGTGAGGCTCGACTACACGTCGTACGCCTTGCCAAATAAATACTAGTGCGTGGGTGGAAAACATGATTTTCTTGGAACAAAAAGATAACATGAAGACCTAGGTGCCAAACAACCCAAAAGCCTTTTATTTCTATCAAGAGGCAAATCCAACTTAAAGAACCAAACGGCCTAGAAAATTGGGCAGCACTTCCCCTGGATTCCTTGCTTTTCCAGCCATTAAGGCTTCATTATTTCCTCAAATCAGTCCCAACATCTCACACAAAAGTCATCTCATTTCCCAAAAGTCATTCACTAGGCTCAAAGTAAAAGTTAACTAGGAAATGACCGGAATAAAAGTAAGCCTTAAAACATACAAACAAGTACAATGAGACTCGATAACTGATCATGAATCAATGCCAAATATGACCCCAATAGGGTTCCATGAACATATACAAACAGTAGAGAAAACCAGAAAATTCGGAAATGCAATTAGCTTTGGCCTTGAAAAATAGTTTTTGACCTCTTTTTGCGGTAATGGCACCAAATGCCCTATGATTATTGGATGAAGGTGTAAGATCCACCATTTCGAAGCTAAAAGACAGGGCTACAACATCACAGAAGGTCACTCAGCCCAGTTTTGAGTGCAAACAGGTCAAAAATGCAAAATACTACATCAAAAACGTAAAACAGATTCACCAAAACACATACTAGCGGAAATATCATAACTCAGGCTCTACAAGTCCAAATCCAGAAATTCAAAAACCAAATGAAAGCTAAGAAACGGGGCTAAATTTCTTCAGAAGGCCTCAACAACTAATTCGGAAGCGATCCAGACAAAAACAACCAATAACAGTCACAAATCCCAATTTCTGGTAAAACCAGAACAGCAATAATAATTTCGACTTATCTCATTCTACACTACTCCGATTGATCTGAAATTTTGTAGGCACCTATAAAATATCATTCTCCACAACTTTCATGTTTTTAGCTAAGACCAATTCGGCCTCTAACTATGAGATATAAATTCGGGCAGAATGAAGAATCAAGAACCCTAATTTTTCAATTTTTGGTCCAAAACAGAAATTGATTGCAATTGTCCACTTTTTCCACCTCATAGAGTCCTTAAACATCATTTCCAATCATCATACATGACCACATAATCATACTCATATGAAAACAGAAAAATCCCCAAAAATTATAAAATTTCACCAATTCAACCAAAACCAAGAAATAATCCATAAAGTTGCAACTTATACCACCACTAATCATGATTTAAGCATCAATTAAAGAAGGAGGGTGATTCTTCACAACTTACCTTAAGAACAAGAGAGAGAGAGCTATTGGTCACCTTAACTTTCCAAGAAACTCCACCAAACAACTCACTATCACTCCCTTAAGTGTTTCTATGGAACAAAAACAAGTTTAGATGGTTGAATTCTTAGATTTGAGCAAGAGAGAATCAAGAAGTTGAAGAGGTTTTCTTTCTTCCTTTCCTAGAGAGAAATTCAGCCAAGCTTGAAGAAAAATGGAAGATATTTGGTCAATTTTTGGTTTTATTTAGTAATTGGTAAAAGGTTGAATAGTAAGTCAATTGTAGGATTTAATCTCCAAGTGATACATGTCAAGACACTTGTCCCTCTCATTAATGTCATGCCTAACCTTTTTGTCTTTCTCACACCTATGCACTTGGCACCTCTAAATATCTAATAACACCCGATAAATTAAATCTAGTATCCAAAACTTAACCGAACTGGCCGAATTTTTCCGAACTTTTCGCACTAGTGGGTCCCACGTCCGATATACACTCTTAATTTCTCAAAAACTAACCGATACTAGAAAAATCATTTTAAAAATTATATTTACTCATAAAATTTATCTAGAAAATTTTTCAGATACAAAAAGTGCAGAAAACAAACCATTGAAAATAAGAAAACCTGGAAATATAATAAAACCTAGAAAATGGAAAAATTACGGGTTCTCACAGATGAACCCTTTTTGAGAGACTAACTCAAATCTGTCTCTGGCTTCATCGTCGATGAACTTTGATAGAGGAACGGGTTTAGGTGCAGGCTGAGATACTGGATTCTTCCCAGAACGTGTCCCTTTAGAGGTTTGAGTGGCAGATGCACCAACATTTTGAGTCTCAGTCCTTGTCCTTGGAGACTTCCTGATGGAGGGTTCAGGTGTTGGCTGACTCTCAGTAATGTTTTCTTCATTCTGCTGATCAACAGAGGGATCAGCAGATTGCTTTTTCTTGGATTGGGGAGTTCTCTTCCCCTTTGCAGTCATTTTTCTTTTACTAGAAGACCTTGTGACAATTTCATCACCTTGGGTAGCCTGCTCTGGTTCCTCATTTCCACCAGCAATGTTCCCTTCAGAGATCTGTGTGACAGCCCCACCTCACCCTAAGGCGAACCAAAGGGTTTGGCGGACCGCTTGCCCAACTCTCGCCAGGACTAACGGTGCAGACTAGAGCTATCTATTGCGATCCGGAACTTACAAACGAGTGGAAACAAGTTAAAATGGTAAAATAACCCAAAATAAAAAAAATGAAATCCGGAGTCGGCCATGAATAGTAACCGACCCGTCAGAACCCAATCGAAAGAGCACGCAAACATTCACATCTGAACTTTAGCGATTACAATCCGAAATGACATACAAAAGTTTTCAAAAGTTGATACATATACACGGTTTGCCAAATCAAAAGAGAAAACGCCCCAAAAGTACACTTAGAGTTTTAATACATGAGCTATACAAAAGATATGTTCCACTAGCTCAATTTGGCAGCCATTTGTCAAATCCAGACCAAAAGTGTTTATTTTCCTGTAAGGAAAACAAAAGGGACAGAAAGGGGTGAGCTTGCGCTGAATGAGGTACCAAACATATAGCAGAAAAATCATGGCATTTCACATTTTACAAATCAGATACACATGCCAGATGTAAAGCAAAGGAACCAATGATTCAAATCAGAAGGATACGGGTGGCTCTCAGGAGCCAAATTTCCAGCGCAGTACTTGATCCAAACCGGTTGACTCTCCGTCAACGTATATAGAACCAAAACGTCCGTAGACCCCTCTTCACACCGAATTCCGTCCACCAAATACCCCCTTTACCGGGCCCGCTCACCGTAACCGAACAGAAATGGTAATACTCGAGTATACCGGAATCAAGGGTCTCAATACCCAAAAATCCCCGAACAGACTACCGTGGTTCGTTATCTAATCGTCCAGGCCCTTGCCGGCCCGACTCGAATAACTTAGCCACAGGATTGAGCTCATAGGTCATAGAAATCCGAACAGATGCAGACACAGATAACAGATTCAGATACAGATACAGAATAGCATATTCAGATAGCAGATTCAGACGGCAGATTCAGATAGGCACTCAAAATTGGCATATGAACAGACAAGAGAACGAGTGTGATAAAGTACACCCTCGTCTCAAACAAATTAAACAGATTGCAGAGCAGAAATCAAGTTAAACAGCAATGGAAGAGAGTGGTACAGTCACCGGTTCAACTTCAAAAGTTTTCACTTCAGATTGGCCTTAATCGCCAAAAACCCTAAAATAATCAAAATAAACCAATTGAAGGTTTCACATCCAAAATCAAGTAAACGGAATGCGCAAGTGAGGCTCGACTACACGTCGTACGCCTTGCCAAATAAATACTAGTGCGTGGGTGGAAAACATGATTTTCTTGGAACAAAAAGATAACATGAAGACCTAGGTGCCAAACAACCCAAAAGCCTTTTATTTCTATCAAGAGGCAAATCCAACTTAAAGAACCAAACGGCCTAGAAAATTGGGCAGCACTTCCCCTGGATTCCTTGCTTTTCCAGCCATTAAGGCTTCATTATTTCCTCAAATCAGTCCCAACATCTCACACAAAAGTCATCTCATTTCCCAAAAGTCATTCACTAGGCTCAAAGTAAAAGTTAACTAGGAAATGACCGGAATAAAAGTAAGCCTTAAAACATACAAACAAGTACAATGAGACTCGATAACTGATCATGAATCAATGCCAAATATGACCCCAATAGGGTTCCATGAACATATACAAACAGTAGAGAAAACCAGAAAATTCGGAAATGCAATTAGCTTTGGCCTTGAAAAATAGTTTTTGACCTCTTTTTGCGGTAATGGCACCAAATGCCCTATGATTATTGGATGAAGGTGTAAGATCCACCATTTCGAAGCTAAAAGACAGGGCTACAACATCACAGAAGGTCACTCAGCCCAGTTTTGAGTGCAAACAGGTCAAAAATGCAAAATACTACATCAAAAACGTAAAACAGATTCACCAAAACACATTCTAGCGGAATATCATAACTCAGAGCTCTACCAATCGCAAATCCGAAATTCCAAAACCAGATGCAATAGCTAGAAACGGGGTTTATATTTCTTGCAGAAGGCCTCGAACAGACTAATTTCGGGAAGCGATCGCAGCAACACCAATAACATCACAAATCCCTAAGTTTCGGGTAAAACCAAGAACAGAATAGTAATTTGCACTTATTCAATTCTACACTACTCCGATTGAACTGAATTATTGTAGGCCACCTATAAAATATCATTATACACAACTTTCATGTTTGAGCTTAAGGCCAATTCGGCCTCTAACTATGAGATATAAATTCGCAGAAGAAGAATCAAGAACTAAATTTTTCATTTTTGGTGCCATAACAGAATTGATTGCAAATTGTCCACGTTTTTCCAACCTCATAGAGTCCTTCAACATCATTTCCAAATCAAATCATAACAATGACGCCACATAATATACTCATTATGAAAAAGAAAAATCCCAAAAATTTAAAATTTTCACCATTCAACCAAACCAAAGAAATAAATTCCATGAAGTTGGCACTTATACCACGCAACTAATCATGATTTAAGCATCATTACAAGAAGGAGGGTGCATTCTCACAACTTACCTAAGAACAATAGAGAGAGAGAGCTATTGGTCACCTTAACTTTCCAAGAAACTCCACCAAACAACTCACTATCACTCCGTTAAGTGTTTCTATGGAACAAAAACAAGTTTAGATGGTTGAATTCTTGGATTTGAGCAAGAGAGAATCAAGAAGTTGAAGAGGTTTTCTTTCTTCCTTTCCTAGAGAGAAATTCAGCCAAGCTTGAAGAAAAATGGAAGATATTTGGTCAATTTTTGGTTTTATTTAGTAATTGGTAAAAGGTTGAATAGTAAGTCAATTGTAGGATTTAATCTCCAAGTGACACATGTCAAGACACTTGTCCCTTTCATTAATGTCATGCCTAACCTTTTTGTCTTTCTCACACCTATGCACTTGGCACCTCTAAATATCTAATAACACCCGGTAAATTTTACACAGTATCCGAAACTTAACCTTATTGGCCGAATTTTTCCGAACTTTTCGCACTATGGTCCACGTCGATATACACTCTTAAGTTTCTCAAAAACTAACCGATACTTAGACATAAAAATCATTTTAAAATTAGGTATTTACCTCATAATTTATCTAGAAATTTTCAGATTTAGCAAAAAGTTGCAGAAAACAAACCATTGAAAATAAGAAAAAAAACCTGGAAAATATAATAAACCTAGAAATGAAAACAATTACGGGTTCTCAGCAGATAACCCTTTTTGAGAGACTAACTCAAATCTGTCTCTGGCTTCATCAATCGATGAACTTATTGGTAGAGGAACGTTTAGGTGGCAGGCTGAGATAACTGGATTCTTACCACGAAGCGTGTTCCCTTTAGAGTTTTGAGTGGCAGATGGCCAATAATTTTGAGTCTCAGCTCCGTTGTCCACTGGAGACTTCCTGGATGGAAGGGTTCAGGTGCTCGGCTGACTCTCAGTATGGTTTTCTTCATTCTGGTGCTGAAGTCAACAGACGGGATCCCAAAGCAGATTGCTTTTCTTGATTGGGGAGTTCTCTTCCCTTTGTCAGTACGCTCTTTTTTTTAGCTATACCTTGTGGACAGTCATCACCTGGGTAGCAACTGCTCTGGTTCTTCATCTTCCACCAGCAAATGTTCCCTTCAGAGATCTGTGTGAGCAGCCCACCATCCACCCTAAGGCGAACCAAAGGGTTCGGCGGACCGCCTGCCCAACTGGCTCGCCAGGACTAACGTGGGCAGATCTAGAGCTATCCTATTGGCGATCCGGAACTTACAAACGAGTGGAAACAAGTTAAAATGGTAAAATAACCCAAAATAAAAAAATGAAATCCGGAGTCGGCCATGAATAGTAACCGACCCGTCAGAACCCAATCGAAAGAGCACGCAAACATTCACATCTGAACTTTAGCGATTACAATCCAAAATGACATACAAAAGTTTTCAAAAGTTGATACATATACACGGTTTGCCAAATCAAAAGAGAAAACGCCCCAAAAGTACACTTAGAGTTTTAATACATGAGCTATACAAAAGATATGTTCCACTAGCTCAATTTGGCAGCCATTTGTCAAATCCAGACCAAAAGTGTTTATTTTTCTGTAAGGAAAACAAAAGGGATAGAAAGGGGTGAGCTTGCGCTCAATGAGGTACCAAACATATAGCAGAAAAATCATGGCATTTCACATTTTACAAATCAGATACACATGCCAGATGTAAAGCAAAGGAACCAATGATTCAAATCAGAAGGATACGGGTGGCTCTCAGGAGCCAAATTTCCAGCGCAATACTTGATCCAAACCGGTTGACTCTCCGTCAACGTATATAGAACCAAAACGTCCGTAGACCCCTCTTCACACCGAATTCCGTCCACCAAACACCCCCTTTACCGGGCCCGCTCACCGTAACCGAACAGAAATGGTAATACTCGAGTATACCGGAATCAAGGGTCTCAATACCCAAAAATCCCCGAACAGACTACCATGGTTCATTATCTAATCGTCCAGGCCCTTGCCGGCCCGACTCGAATAACTTAGCCACAGGATTGAGCTCATAGGTCATAGAAATCCGAATAGATGCAGACACAGATAACAGATTCAGATACAGATACAGAATAGCATATTCAGATAGCAGATTCAGACGGCAGATTCAGATAGGCACTCAAAATTGGCATATGAACAGACAAGAGAACGAGTGTGATAAAGTACACCCTCGTCTCAAACAAATTAAACAGATTGCAGAGCAAAAATCAAGTTAAACAGCAATGGAGGGGAGTGGTACACTCACCGGTTCAGCTTCAAAAGTTTTCACTTCAGATTGGCCTTAATCGCCAAAAACCC